AAATGTAGATTTTTACAAATTTAAAGTGCATTTGCAAAGCATTTTTGTCCTGATTTATAGATCTGATGACAGCTAAACATTTTGAGTCTTGAACAAATTCTGTCAATAGAAACAAAATAAAATTGATTAAAAAAAAGTACACCTACTACCTACGTTTAAAATAAGTCCTGAGACATAGGTAAGGTTATCAATTTGTTTGACTGAATATAAAAAGGGGTTTCTCCTTGACTGTAAACCCATAATTTTACTACTAAATTAAGCTCTGCTATTTGACTCAGTACGTAAACGACTCGGTCCGATTAAAACCTCCGCCCCCAGCCATCGATACATAAACGAATTTTTATTCCGGACCTGTGTAAAACGATCCTTAACGAAATACACACGCTCCACTTTATCCCTTAATGGTTTCTCTGCCAGTTGAACCGCGATTTTAAGCAAATCGATAAAAACTGAATAAAAAATCGTGGGTGGCTCCCGACTTGTTTTTCCTCGGGAATTATTTATATATTTTTATGATAGAAAAAGACGAAAAGTCTAAGGGTTGTGGTTCGATCAATTCGAGTTTTAATACACTGGCATTCAATGATGGTCTCGTCTGGTTTATTAAAATCGACTCCCTGCAAGATGTGAAGTGCATCATTTTATTGTGGAAATCCATTCCGGCGCATCTGCCTCGCTTATAACCTCCATTGTCTACCTCTTCTTCTTATTCTGCTTATCTCCGTTTCCGTTCCCCGATCATTTCCGGCTAGTGCACTCGAAAACTGGCAAAGCCTTGCACTGCGGTCTTCTTCGGACCGATATCTATCTATTATCTGCCGTTTCTATTCAACTTATATTCTACCCGGACCATTGTTGGAAATTTTCTGCATTCAACACGGATCAATCCGCACTCCCCGACTCGAATATTATACACCGCTCTAATTCGATTCCGTCAATATAACCCATTAGCAAATCATCAGCCAGTCATATTTTACAAAAGGAGCTGTCAGAGGATCGCAGCCGGGTAATACACGAGCTTCAATCTTGAGTCAATACGGAACTAATTCGATTTGCATGCAAATGCGAAAGGCGAAAATGACGATCGCAAAGCGTCTAAGCCTTCACACATATAGTGAATCAAAAATTCGATTCAGTTTTTTGTGTTAATTTGTTAACAACTAGGTAATACCAAAAGAAAAAAACAGTTAATGTATTTTAAAATACTTTTCTACATTTCTATTTAATTCTTGTTTGTTGAGACACTCTGTAAGTACAGTTTTTAATTTTCGTAACCGTACGTTGCAACATCTGCCGTAAAACATTAAAAAGATCGGCCATTTTGCTCTCGCTTCTAACAATGGCATCTCGCAACCACCTATGGCTTACCGCACTGGTTTTGCGTGTAGATGACAATGCGAACAAATACTTTGACTCATCTTCCCCTAGTAGATAGGGTAGAGATGAGAGCCCCGTGTTGTCTCACCTGCCTCGGGGCACGAATTTCAATCAAATGGGCGGGACCAGAGACCCTAATAATATAGTCGTACAAACAAAATCACAAGCATAAATATTTATATGTGGGGCCGTAGCAAGCCCTAGACGCACATAAATAATAGAAAAAACTGAGTTTTATTATGATACAATTTTACTTTGTTGATAATAGAGCTTTACGAAAAATTTGACTCCATATAGATATAAACTTTGAAGACAACTAATTTCAGAAAATCCAGAGACGATTTTAAAATAATTTTTGGCGTAACTTATAACCTGAAAACCACTAAATCGATAGAATTTTATGTAAAATCATACAAGAAACACGAATTTAAATATGAAGATTGAAATTGTGAATGCGTTGTTGGTGAAACTATATTATAGCTGAGATCGACTAAATAACCGGAAGGAATAAGGATTCAGAAGGAATCGTAGGATCCATAGTTTCCGGAAAAGTATTCATTTCACCGGTAGCAAATATGGCAAAATTGTTAGTATGTAGGAATTGTACAGCTACATTAAAAAAAACGGGAAATGAAATTTTTCCAGATGTAAATACGGTTCTAGTTGTCAATTGTTAACTAGACAATACCAATACCTATTAAAAATATTTCTATCAATGTCAATAAATTTATAGCAACCTGTGCAATGCCGCATTTAAGTGAAGTACTTAGAGAAAGTCAAAATCGTCGCTCACCTGGGAAATGGTGGGAAAATTATGAATTTAGCGGCAGAATTTAGAGTGGAAAAAAGTACCATCGAAAGAATTTAAAAAAGTGGGTAAACTGGCGCACCATGTTACGCAAGGTGGGTTCGGGTCGCCCTAAAAGTACAAATAAACAGAAAGATGAAGAATTAATTAACTCTTCGAGAAAAAGGCCTATAATTACTGCTGTAGAAATTTTCAAATTTTCGCCCCCCAAAACAGGCAAGAGCTTATAAATGCCATAAATATGGCATGGCACAATTTAACACAAGAGTATTGTCAACACCTGATTGTGTCTATGCCTAGAGAATTAGCATCCCTCATTGAGAAGAACAGAGCTATGATTAAGTATTAAGTTGTTCAGTTTGTTACTAAATTCGAAAATATAATTTGTTCAAATATAACCAATTTATTTTTTAATTGACTTACCATCACAATATTTTAACCTATTTTTAATAAAACACGTTTACACTATAGAAAAATTAAAAATAAAAACTCTTTTTAATAATACACAAGTTAATGCATTACGAATATTTGCTATGGAACCAATTTACCTACTGGTCAGCATTTTAACAAACAAAAGTTGAGCGATAATTTGAAATATTTGGGTGAATCAGGTAGATTTTTAGGCTAGAATTCTCGAATGACTTCAGATTTTCTCTACAACACATAACAATTCAAAAAACAATAATATATTTTTTATTTAACTTGGCAAAAGAAGAAGAAACCATTTGGCAGACAATTATTCAAGACTTAATTTTTTGACAAATAATTTCTACAACCTGTACACTCCACTGACCCGGCGGTTTAGACCTGCAGTCAAGCAAGATTCACCATTACGGATATTTCTATGAAGTAATGATGTTGATGAATTGTTTGAGGTAAGAAAAAAACCCCTAAAATTCCCCAATCCAGCATCACTGCAGAATTTCCGCCTCGCAACATTTTTCGTTAATATTGAGACATTTCCAAACAATATTACGAGTTTTTAAGAAGACTGCTGTTTGGATTTCAATAATTAAATTTGAATTTAATTTTGAAAGTTCAAGATTTATTTTTAAATTGTTTGTAACAACTCGAATTACAAAAATAATTATTAGTATTATAACAATACCTATTATTAGAGTTTGTTGTACAACACCTAATTCAATTCTCTATTAAGAATTTCTTTGCAAAAAAATTTAAACCCCAAGATTTTCATTTTACATTTTCTTCTTCATCAGCAATACAGTTGAATAAATGTCCCCATATAAAATAGCATATGTTTAAAGCCATATCTATTTTAAACATTAAATTTTGACGTGATTTAATTCTGACGATACTACCACTAGTACCAATTAGAATCAAAATGTTTTAAATAGGTAATTATGTAAAATGTTCACCCTAGGAGTCGATTGATGTTGAAAATACCAGAAAATTCTGGACGCATATTTTAAAGATTTTCTTTAAAACTACAGAAGGCAGCAAAACGACTGAAACTTTATTCCTAAATCGATAAAATTCGAAAATTTTAGATTGAAACGGCATGACATTTTTGCACTAGACCCCGAAATTTCATGCAACGTAAAAATTTAACATTTTGAGTTGTTTCTCTCTGGGTGGCAGAATATCAAAAAACAAAATTTCCAAACATAATTTATAATATCTAGATTTTTTATTTATTCGATTCTTCCTCGTTTTCTCCTTTTATAATTAATTTTTATTTCCCTGTATGTGACTGTATCCTCTCGTGGCAGTAAATTCATGTCCATATTGTCCCAAACGACCGCACATGTTAGCCCCACAAGCCGCAGTCCTGCACATATTCGATGCAATTACGTTAATAGCATGTTTGTAGTCGGCAACAGCTTAATCGCACATAAACAAAATCGAGCAGATTTTCGAGTACCATCAACCCCAAGGGCGAAACAAATGTATCCCATCGCACAATTTCGTCGTACAAAAGGCTTGCCCTAAACGGCGCATTGTCCCTCGTTGTTGCAATTAGCCTGTCATGACTTGCAATCACCATTAACTCGATTTCGTTTCGACAATGCTTGACTCCTCCGGCCCCCAAGACATTATTTTTTAACTCGACTGTGTTTGGACAACCCTGCGTTTTATTAACGGCCCAACGAGCGCCGCCGCTGTTCCCGACGTGTGTCAAGTGCAGTCGAACGCCGGCTCCAATGATCTCTCGTGTTAATTGGATTGGATTTTTAATTAATATGAAAATTTGCACGTTTAATTCTTGTCCGAACGACGAGAGGGTTTGACGTATCGACGAGAGGACGCAATTAATACGCTCCATTTTTGAAAGTGGAACGGATGAGAGCACACGCCCGACCAAGGATAATTGCTCGGTATATCTTGATTTAGGGGATTTGAGCCGCCAAAGGCACATTGACACGGTTTTAATTACAAAAATACGACTTTGTCCTACAAAAACCTATAAATAACAAAAAATCCCTTACTCCATTGTATTTATTTGGAAAAGACTCGCAACTTCCTATTCGACGATTAATAATTTTAACAATTGGTGCGCTCGCTGCGCCTCTAATAGTTTGCTTACCTATTAACTGCCTCCATTGTCAGTTGGTTTGAAAATATCTGACTATTCATAAAACTTTATTGCTCAATTTGGTTCCGAATAGCGCGCCAGTTGTGTATCCTTCTGTCTCTGCTGTCTGAAGTCCCTCTAAATTGGATCGTTTCGACATCAAAGTCGGTCCATTTTCATGGCCAAGAAGCTGACTTCCGGTCTTGTCCCTATATCCGGTCGTGACTGAAACTACGACTTCCTGGTGGTTTGTAAAGGGATATTTAAGCGCCAAAATCCAATAATATCATTTATTGAAAAACAATTAAAAGTTACAAAAGTAATAAAAACTGAATAAACGTAACTGTAGTTTTCAACTGATTTTTTCATTAAAAGCGCAATTAAATCATTTTTTAATACATTATTTACATTAAAATATGTATTTTTTGGCTCCCACATGCAATAGATACAATTTTTAGACACCTAAACGTAATCGAGCCAAATAACTAAGCATTTGGAATGCAATTTCGTAACGATTTTATAATTTTATAGACGAAAAAACAACTTGAAAACCCTGCTAAATACAGATTAAAGCTTCTAAGTCCCTATATATGTACACACTTCAGAGAGACTCTAAATATCTTTATTTATATAGTTACAAAACTTGGAAGATTGTTCATATACGAAAAAATATAGAAAAATTGTGTGGTATATATGGTGTATTAAACGATTACAAAAGTGATTGTATGAAAACAAATGTCAATATTGCTCCCAATCTCAGAAAACTTGTATATTTGAGCAACTCAGAAATATCCAGCGACAGGAAAATTTGGCAAAAACATCCAACATCCAAAAGTTGATATCACAAACTAAAAAGCGCGGCAGTGACTCCCTATTCTTCGGTTTTCTCCGGGTCGGCAGCAATCGATAAAGTCAATGGTTTCATTTTCAGAGGGTGGCCGTTAGTCTTCAAGTCCTTGAAATCGCGACTGTGTGAAGACACCGCTCCAGGGCTCACCGCTGATTTTGTCTTGCCTTTGCTCGTCACTTGATCCCTCACGGCCATCTGATAAGCCAATTCAAATGCTTGACCCAAAGTCAGAATTATTTCAATCGCTTGCTCCTGAAGAAAAAAAGTAGCAAAAACCGAAATGCGTGCACACATAATAGGGGACTCACCGATGATGTAGATTCAAACACGTGACAATAGAAAGAGTCGCCATCTTTCGTTATGTACGCAAAATAAAACTGGTTATCCAAATCCTGGCATGCGCAGTTGATGTTCCGAATCTCGTGTTCGCAAATGGTGTTCTAGAACACTCTGAAACCAAATTAATCTATATACAAGGTAACTTACCTTCGTTATAGGATTGATAAATTTGACTCCACGGTAAGAAATCGATAAAGTTATTTCCTCGCTTGTTCTTTCTTTGTTTTTGACCACTTTCTGAATAGATTTTTTGGTCGATTCGGTTCCTTTGAATTCGATTATGTTCGTCGAGCCCAAATACTGGAAAAATATTTTCAAATTCGTGAAAGTCTGTCACAAAAAGCTCACGTTAGCTGAATACATAACAATTCCGGTTATCAAAAGTATAGGTTGGTGTCTCCATTGCGATTTAATCGAGTTGTTACCTCCAACAAACATTTCAGCTGGTTTTTTCTTTTCACTTTCTTTGTCAATTTTTACTGGTGGTGGAGGTGCTGGACGCGATTTTTTATGTCTGTGTCTTATAGTACCAGTAGAATGAGCCGAAGGCGACTTTAATTCCTGATTTTTCTGTAAAAACTTCTTTACAGAGAGTCACAAATCCTGATAAAGGTCACTCACGAGTAGGTTTAAATCGGCATTAATCTCTTCAAGTTTTGGCCCTGAAATGATATGTTCGCCACTACTAACACTAGCCAAAATCCGTTTTCTATGTCCTATCTTATCAATATCTAAAACGGCCGAAAGCTCAACATCCCAGATGCGTTTAATTCGTTCCATGTCATGGTAAAGGTGTTTATTGAAGGTGTCAAAATACTGGTCCAAGTGGATACGACTTAACCAACTTTTGACCGAATTTTGTTCGTTGTTATTATTGTTATTAAAACTTTGATTGTGAATTTTTAAAGGAAGCTGTTTGACAGCGTCTAAAATTATTTGGCGTTCTAGTTCACTCGTAATTCCCATTTCGCTTAAGTCACTATCTTCAATCACTCCATTCTGGATTAAAAAAATTGTTTTTTCGATTTTTCGCACTGTCGTACTTACCAAAAAATTGACATCATCGAAACCGTTTGACATAAAAAGCCCAACATAATCTTGCATTCCTAAAGTCTGCAACCATTTCTCAATAGAATCTGCGTGTAGACTATTTTGAGAGCAACTTAAAGTCATCAATCGACTCTGAAACTCCTTTTCCAACTCCGCCACAAAAACACTCTCCCGGACTATCCCTGTCCCAAAACTCGCCATGATTTCTTGGATTTTCGCCCATTCCTCCTGCTCATCGAACGGACTCAAGGCCGAAACGCGATCTTTATTTTCCTTATTTTCATATTCCTTTTCAGAACTCGAGGATTTTTCGTTGTCGCTTTTCGCAGCATCAGTACTCGAACCGTCATAAACGCGTTTTAGTTTTTTTAGTGTTTTCGGTCTTTCGGCCGGAGTATTCGAGCTGATGTTTTCAAGCACTCGCGTCGAACCCTTTATAAGACCTACAAGGGGATGGTTTGATGCTAATTTGCGGATGAAGAACCAAAGTACCTGCGAAAGGAGCGTCTGAGTGGTACTCTTCGATTATGTTGTCGACACTGCGGTCAGATAGTGAAACGCTGCTAGAAAGACTGCCGCTTGATTCGTCGCAGATTAGAAGGAACTCTTCCTCAGTTTCGGTTTCCATGTCTTTGGATTGGCGTTTGTATTCCTAAGGGGCGGCGAGTTATTGACAGGAAAAAAGTAAACAAGAAAAGTCGACAAAGGAGTAAACATGGATTAGAAATGAATAAATAACTCAAAAATTATTAATTTTTGGGTAACTTATGTTTCAAAATCTGTAAAGTGGCCATTTAAGTGTACACAGTTTTTGTACATTAACATTATTTTGACTAAATTTCGCGCGAACAAAGTCTTTATTATTAAGTCGCGAAATTGGTTAGTGTGGTGAGAAATTCGATTTTCTTTAAAAGTTAGTTACTCATTCTATTGCTAAGTTTAGATTTTGGTATTTTTATGACAAAATGTGTCAAAAAACTGGTTTGCAACTACACTTCCAACTTCCAAGTTGCCTTTTCGTATTAAACCTATTAGCGATCTATAGTATTTTTAGTAATTTAATTTTTTTGTGTTTCCCTTTTTTTCAATTTTTTGTACCCATTCTTTTAAATAAAGTTCAGAATATCTCTTAAATAAGACCTTATTAAGTAATTTTGTTTGTATTTTCTCTACTTTTTTTTTCAATTTTTTTGTAGGTACCCATTCTTTTATATAAATCTAAGTTTGTCTCTTTTATAAGACCTTATTAAGTTCATAGCATTTTACTTTTATAATTGTGCAGAAATTTTAATAGGTGATTAGTAGAGAACAAAAGATGCAAAAATAAGTCAACTTGTCTTATCCAAATGTTTATAGCTTCTGAGATATTATTGAGAATTTTAACAACCAAATAAATTTAATAAATTTGACGCCAAGCCCTAAACTTCACCAAAAAAGTTGTAAAAAAATATGATCTCTGAGGTATTGTCGTCACTTCATAATAATTAATAACCATGCATAAATAAAAAAACAAGCAAACAAAATACTAAAGCTTTATTCAAATCATAATAACAAATACATAAATACATTTAACAACGTAACGATAATATATACGAAAAAAATCGGACGTATAATACTGTAACAACCATGCCAAGGTTTACTTCCATCACAAGCTTACCTGACTCAGCGGCCTTATTTTCTCATAAATCAAACTTTCGGCTTGTAAGGCCGAAGGCGGAGGATGATCGGGAGTGGGAGGCTGTTTGTAATGAGTCGGACTCATTGGATAATTACAATTCTTACTCTCCTCATCCCCGATCATAATAAAAGCACTGCTGACAAAAGTCGTTTCCGGTGCCGAACTACTCGCTATCGGTTCTTCTTTTTTCGAAAAATCGTACTCTTCGTAAACCTCAGGATTTCTTCTCAATTTCCGTCTCGGATTCTGCTGCTTGATGATCATATTTTCATACATTGAGGTTATAGCAACCGGTTCATATTTTTTCCGACAGTCCAAATCTTCGCTTTTGCCTCTATGTAGCTCCTTCGGGCGTTCTTCATCCTCATCTAGAGCTATGTTAAAGACGTTCATTTCCACGTACTGGTCCATGCTTCGTCCATGACTTAGCCGTTCTCGTCTTGCTTCGAGCTCTACGTCGTTCAAATTCCCCTGACTTCTGGTACCGCTATGTGCCAAAAATAAGTACTCATAAGCACTATTGGAGACACCATCGACTGACATCGACATGGGCTGGAGATGGGTTGGAGACACAGAAAGGTTCCTCCGTGGTGGCTTCTTCGGAGGCGTAGGCTACTCGAATTAATACCGAAAAGGACAATTCCAGGGTCGAACTTACCGAAACTTTATTAGAGCTCGGGCTGTGCCCCCCTCGCACGTTATTCATCGGGATATAAAGGGGGACTCCGCCGGAATCCGGACGCCGGGGATACCCCGAACTCGATGCCGTCGACGATAAACTAATCTGATCAGATTCCCGACTCGTGCAAAGATAATTTAAATCTTCCGAGTGAACACTAGAGTCCATAAACTGTTTAGGAACGCAAGGAATCTGATACAGACTGTTATCGCTCTCCCTGGAAGAATCAGAATTTCTACACTCGCATGCTGTATGGTAAGTGTCAGTCGAAGTCGTGCTGAATTTTCGAAACGAAATTTGTTCCTTAAACCTAAAGGTTATGCCATCCAAGGGTGACAAATCGGATGAATCACGTTTTTTTAAGGGTAAGCTTTGGTACGGTTTGGTGTTACGCCTAAAACATGCATTTACCGGAAGCGGGAAGGTCAGAGTAGGCCTCGATATGCAATGAAGTGATAGAACTGTGACTTACATCGAAATTCCGGAAACGCCCGAAACTCTCCGATCTTCAAATCCCTCGGGCGGTCTCGCATGACGCAAATCCCATCTTTGAGGGGAAGTCCCAGGTGACGGATCCGTCGTGGACGACCGAGCGTTCTTCGACGACGGTCGGACATTCTCGTAAGGACTCCCGATATCCGAGTCTGTACTCGGAAGCGGCGGGAACGGATGACTTATACTTTCGCCATCACTATCTACTATCGTCATACCCTTCTTATGCCCTGAACAGATAAGAAATTTCGAACCCGTTTCATGTTTTCACCATTTTCTTACGTTTCAAAATCCCCATGATCTCCTGCGAGGCTTGCGCCGTATTAAACTGACTCAACAAATCCATAACCGTGTAATTATGTGAATCTCTGATAGCCGTATTAACCCCGTGTTCGAGTAAAGTCCTGACAACTTCGACTTTGCCGCAAAGTGCGGCTTCATGCAGGGCCGTCCCAGATTTCGTTCGCATGTTGACACTGAATCCTGCTCGTAATAATACTTCAACTACGGCCCTGAAATTAATCGACTAAATGGCATACACCTGTGGTGAAGCTTGCGCCAGATTAGAGAACGGTGGATGAACTGCAATATGTGGAGCGATGGCATGTGTATGCAATCTGGTTGAGCGTTCGCATGGCAGCACACGCATATTGCGTACATAACACACAACCAAGGGATCGGTGGGAGCGGCGGTGGCGGTGTACAAAGGTCTGGGAAATGGCAAAATGAATGAAGAAATTTTTGGGTGTGGGAGAGATGAATGAAAGTCGAGCTGGAAGTGGCGATTAAGTAAGGGAGAATTTTAGGACAATTGAGAAATGATAGAAAGTAACAAGTGATAATTAAAAAAGAAAAGCAATGAAAAGCATTATTAAAAATCGCGAATGTTCTCTACAAAAAATTTCACCCCTTCACTAGGTAAATAGCTTTCTTTTACTTTTTAGTTATGAATTTTGTTTCTTTCTTTACAAATAGTAATAATAAAAAAGAAGAAAAAAAGCGACTGCTAAAGCAATAAAAAAGCAGGAAAAAGGAGAAAACTTGTAATTTTTCCTCTCCACTTACTTGTGCCCATTCCTGCTGGCAAGATGCAGCGGCGTATGGGGAAAAACAGTGTCCGGAGCGGCTCTTTTCAGACATTGTATCAAACTGGGGTCGGTCCTGACCAGCAATTCGACCGTTTCCAATCTCCCGTACTGAGCCGCCAAATCCAGGGCTGTCTCCCCGCGACAGTTGCGAATTCCTGGATCGCAAGCGTGTTCCAAAAGAAGGGATACGACGGCGGTATGGCCGTATTGAGCAGCACAATGAAGTGCCGTCTCGTCATCTTGAGTCTGCAATTCAATACCATCGCCCGTCATTCGACTAATCCTTTGATCCTTCGTCGATGATGGCCACTCGTGACGCTAATTAAGATAGTGGATGACGCGACGTTGACAGACGAAAGGTCGTTCAAGTGGCCATCGGCATGAAGGGATCAGGGATTAAGCCGGAAAGACCCTCGCGTGCCAATCAACGGTTTGACTTCGACGCGAATCAATAGACAACATTACGGGTATTACACTAGCAGTTTGACCTTCTTAGTAGTTTCGCCTTACAACACCCGCAAAATCATTAGATCATAATAACTATATAATTTTTTTTATTCAAAAGTCTTCTTTACTAGATTATCCTTTACAGCGTAAAGGTAAGTGAAGGAGTAAGTGAAAACAAAGAAAGAATATGAGCAGTGGCGCAGCGAGGAGGGGTTTTGAGCACTCTTGGGGATTGAAGTGTCTTATAAAAGTACAAAAACGTTGTAAAAATGCAAGAAATTAATTTTTGAAAAATTTTGTGTAAATGTATATGAATATATTGAATTAAAACCTTGAAACTGTGGGTGGCGTGGTAGTGTAGCGGCATAAGGTTCCGCTTTAGGGCAGATAGGTCCGGGGTTCGAACCTCGCTCACGTCAGCAATTTTTCACTAATTCAAATTAGCAATAAAAAATGATGGCGAGCACATAAGAGCGTGATCTTTAAAACATGTGCACATGTTCTAATAAGTATAATAAGAAAGAGAGAGAGCGCCTAAGAGCAAATAAGAACGCAAAGCATAATAAGACAGAGAAAGAGCATAAGAACAAATATGTGAACAAAGCATTAGTAAGAGAAAGTGCATAAAAATCATAAGAGCTTTTTTCTATTTCGGTGTCACAAGGGGCATTTTGTGAAACTGTTTTCAGTTAACAAAATGCTCTTTGTGATACTGTTTTTAGAAACATTTTATGCTACATTTTTACTATCACTGACTGTGGCATACTGTGAAAAATTGCTGTGGATCGACTTATTTCATCAAAACTAATGCAATTTGAGTTATTTTCAAGCAATTGGAGTAGGTACCGCATATATCGAATGATAAAAAATTTAACTTTAATTTCGTGGAGAGAAATTAAGTAAACTAATAAAATTTACTGTTTATTTATGACGTTTCGGAATAAATAAGAAACTATAATTATGTTAAAAATTTTAACTGTCAAATATAATAATAAATTCAATTTAAAAATCACTTAATAGAAAAAATATGAAAAAAACACGTGTTGCAACATCTCATTGTGATACTCGTGCATTCTATCACCCGTATCACAATGAGAGTGCTTGCAACCCTTGTTTTTTAATATACTATTTTTTCTTTAAACACATTTTTTATTATACCTGCATTATAATTCTAAATTAAAACACGCTGCAGCATGCCTAATTTGGCCTTTATAGCACGCTGAAATTTTAAAGTTGTCTAGGTAACAAGAAATAGTGAAATGTCTGGACCAATTACAACGTGAAAAAATGTGCTTAACAACGTAAATTAGTAACCGTCTCTACGAAAACGATTCACAAACAACCTTTGATAATTTTATTGTGTAAATTCACATTTTTTTCAATGCTCATAAAAGATCATAAACGGGCAGGTAAATAAAATATAGCGTATAACACTCGTTTATAAGCGCCTTTAAAACACTTACGACGTTAAAAGCATTCCGCTGACGCGTCGCCGTCGTGCGTGTTTTAAAGGCTTGTTTATAAACTAGTATTATAATATACTATTTCATTTTTCTAAAATAAATTAAAACTTACTAATAAGTGAATACTTTTAAGTTTTCTCAAAAAATCTAGAATTTTATAATATGAGCAAATAGTTTATTAGTATAAGTTATACTGGAGTACAGATTTTTATTACTCTTGCCTTTACGGGTACCTGCGATTTTCTCAAAAATTGTTCGTCGCATAACAATGATTTTTTTTATGACAGAAAATTTAATTTGCATTCAAAAATACTAAACACAAAAAAAAGTTATCAACTGATGACTAAGTTATAACTTATAAGCTACTGGTATCGAAAATCGATCTTACTAAAAACTACTAAAATTGAAAATTTTAAATTTGAACCAAATGCCTCCTAGGGGTTAACAGACACAGAAAATCTCATAAAATGTGTTAAAAACGTGAAAACAAATTTTTGAAAAATTTTGACATAAGTAGGTACCTAAATTAAAAAAATTAAAAATTTCAAAATTTAACCCAATTCATTCCCAGAGGTCAAAGAGACACAGAAAAGTGCATAAAATAATAAAAGAAATGCAAGAAATAAATTTTTGTTGTTTTGTTCACAGTTATAACAATTAAGCCCATGCCACATCTTTTTTTTGACATGCCGCTTAAATGAGTGACTGAAATTTTGTATATAGGTAAACCCCCCCTAAACGCTATCTCTGGTTGTGCCACTGAATATGAGAGATCAATTTATTTGTCGCATTGTCAGTTTTAAGACCCGGGAAAATAATGAAAATTGTGTATGTCACACGGGAATTTTTTGACGTACCGTCAAATTCACGTTACAAATCGACGGTCCGCTCAGCAGTAGTTTCACAATTTCGACATTTCCCGACCAAGCGGCCAAATGCAAAGGCGATGATCCTTTTACGTCAACGATATTCGTGGATGCGTCGTGGTCCAGTAGGAGTTTGACGATTTCTCTGTGTCCGTTGAGGGCGGCATGGTGGAGGGCGGAATATCCGCTGCTATCTTGCACGTTGGCTCCTGGCCCCCGACGCAAGCTACAATCGACGACAGAATTAGCGGTTTTCAAAGGGTGTGGCGTCGGCATTTATATCGATCGACTTGGAATTCGACGCGATTTTTCGGCGGTTTACCAGTCAAGGACGAAAATTGCAACAGGGGGAGATTAAGACGATTCCGATCGTTTGTTTACATTTGGTTGGGAGGAATTTTATCGCTTATCATCAGAATAATTATTAGATAAACGACGGTTTATTCGCCCAACATAATTTCAAATGTTGTGTTAATGACTCTAATTAGCGGAAAGCACTCATAAAATTATTTTCTAGTTTCGTTTGTAGCCTTTAATACATTTTAATAGTAATTAGCTTTTCACAGAATAACAAAAAAAAAATTTAATTGTGTAAATAAAAATATTAATTAACAGACTTTTACATAATGTGTACGCAGTTTATTAATTACCTGCAAGACTAATTAATTAAATCTTTTGTTGGGATAAGGCAAAAACAATTAGCAACACAATTTTAAATATTTTAATTCTGTTTCCTTTGTGTTTTATCTTTTTATTTACATTTTAATTTTTTTAAAAGGCTTCTTTGTAATACATTTTCGACATTCTACATTAATTTAAATTTTCTTGACTAAATATTTTTTCTTTACAAACTTTTAACAATTTTCTTATTTTAATCAAACTGCCTGCATTTAAGTTCGAGTTTCAAATCATGGATTTTTACGTGTGTCAATAAATTTTTCTTTCTGTTTAAAATTATTTTTGTTTTGCATTTTTCATCAGCGACTAATATTTTTTAATTTTAATTTTAACCAACATCTTTGTACTAACAAAACGGGAAAAAAATTTCTTATTTATCACACTCAGAAAAAAAATATCACAAGACATACAATACACAACCTTCTAAACGTTCCAAAAATCGAGAGGTTGCAAAAAATTCTCCATTTCTTAACGGGAAACGGGGTATTAAAAAAGGCACTAATTTTTATTTATTTATTATTTTTATTGAGATCCACATATTCCAACTTTTGAAAAAGTGAAACCTTGTTGCAAATTGTTTCAACTCAGATTCCTATTTATTTTCTACAATTTCTTTTGTTTCTAGTTTTTGCTAATATAAGATTTTTCCTATTTGAAAAGCCTTTAATTTTTCAATTTGGCTCTTTTGCTTCTGCACCTGACTTGTTTTAAATTTTTTAATTTTAAATACATACATATTTCATGGTCGAAAAGGTCAAAAATAAAACGAAATTAAATCTAAAGAGCTTTTATTTATGTCCACATGTATACAACAAAAACTTAAATTTTGAAAAAAAAAAAATTATGTGAAATGCTGGAATGATGCACATACTTTCCTTTTCGTGCTCACTTTCAGATTTATAAATCTGTTAAAGCAGTAATAACAACAGTAATAACAAGCTCATTAAATAAAAACATAAATAAACAAACCAGAAATAGAACAAGTTAAGAAATAACAAATTGTGTAACGATTTTCCAGTCAATAAATTAGCAATTTTCCACTTCAGGCATCTTAACCATTTAACAATTGTCAATTACAACACATTAGTAAACCTGTTGGTTCAAATACCTAAACCTTGACCAAGAAACTAGGTGTAACAGGTTACCCTTAATTGGGTGAAAGTAACTCGGGCAACATTCACGAAATTTCTCGATTTACTGAAAAAATTCCGGGAATTTGCTAATTTAGTAAATTGTCATAAACCCCCCCTTGTACTCCCCACGTGGGGCTCTGCTGACTCATAACTTTCGAGAATTTCAACACTGATTAAGAACAAAATTGTGACTCAATGGGCGACTTTTTTGAGTTGTACCCCTCATTATTCGCCCCCCAAAACCCATCAGCTGATCACAACCCACCTTGCAAGAGGGCCACTCCTTTTAGCCCTTTGCCCTAAGATTTTTTCCACGATGGCCACGTTGCCTTTGCGAGCCGCCTCCAGCAACTCCTGGTCCTTCCCCATTGTGCCCCCACACCAACAAATCCAACATTTAAATTAATTCCATCACACAACACCGATTTACTCACTACTGTAGTACAAATTCATTGATCGGCTGTCAACCATGACACTACGGTGGCGATACTAGCGGCAACAGTGACAATTACCGATGAACACAGGACGAAATCACACAAATCCCCTAGAAGTTACCAAGTGATCGTGTCCTTAAATTTCTAAAGTGTTTACGTTTTGATTATCAAAATCGATTTATAACAAAATTTGGCGTGAAATAATGTAAAATGCGGTTATTTTTTGTGTTTGTTGTGTATTTTACGGTCAGTGAAGGTATTACCTGATGTTCTAACAATGACAAATGACATAACCCAACTTTTTAGGACGTGTTATAACATTTGATTTGTCAAATTATGAGCCCCAAAATGTTACAACACAGGTACAAAAAGTGCACGTAAATTTGACCCGTGTTTCCCAAATTCGGGTCATTAATATACCTGAGAGTGTCGGTTTTTTTATAATCCAAGTCCACTCATTTCTTGATAACGTAACCTTATCTTCTTCACCCAAGTTTAAATCAAAAACAACAATAAAAGGGCCTAATGTGGGTTTAGTTTCTTTTAATTTAAGCGACACGATATTTTATGTTAGGAATAAAATCGAAACTCGGGCTTTAATCGTTGTAACCATTTATCAAACAGGAGGTAAAAAAATACTTTTGTAATTCAAATATTGACAGAATTATTCTCAGATCCGATTCCTGGGGGCTGCAACTTATCATTTCCGACCGAGTATGCACCCTACCAACTCGTCTCAAACACTGATGAAGTTATTGTTGTCCAAAGTCAACCCCCTTCAATAATCGATTCCACTTGCGATAAAAACAAGTTACAAGTCGATATGTACCACTTGTATCTACACGAAAACAACTACGATCCTTTATATTATTTTAACGGAATTGAAAAAATGTTAACTGTTAATTTGATTCAAAAAAACGGTCATAAAGTATCAACAGTTGATGGCTACTTTAAATACCGTAAATTATACTCGGCTTACAGAGGCGTGGGTCAAGTATTTGCAATCGTAGCCACAAACGGTAACGTTAGCTCGGCATACGTACCGGCAGTTTCCTATAGTTGCGATTTAACCCAAATGGATACATGCAACGGCCCTGTGACCCCTCATTGGAAATTAATTTGTGCCATTATGACCATTTTTGGGATATTTGTGTGTTTTTTCGGGCACAGATTTTTCAGACTCACTCTGTATTTAGCTGGTTTCACACTAGGAATTTTTGTAACTTATGTTATTTTGTCATTGAGTAGCAACAATTTGACAGTGGAAGGTAATTCCTGGCACGAAAAGTGTCAAAAACTGACAGTTTTTTTTAGAAAAAACGACCGCTTCGATTCTTGTGGGGATGATATACGGGGCGGTTTGGTTACTCGTTTGGTGGAAATTTGGAATTCCGATTTTCTCTGCCGGTTTAACGTTTTTCATGGAGGCATTTTTAATGGCGTCTATTATTTTTTATTCAGGAGTTGGTAGGGGACTTAGCACACATGTATAAATTATCAAAAATTGATTTTCTAGCGGACTTGTGGATTTTTCATAATAATGCCAATTTCTGGTTGACTTTCGCTTCAATTGTCGTAACTTTTGTCACGGTTTGGACGATGTGGACTTTAGAGGGGCACATTTTCGGGTGTAGCTTTTTAGGGGCGTATTCCTGCGTTGCTGCTATGAATTATTACGTCGGTGGCAATTTGCAATATATTATTATAAATTCGTTCAGGAGAATGGCTGTCAAGAATTTTAATATGGCGACAGTCGATCCGCCGTTTCAAATTTTGGGTGAACATATTTTTTTGAAGGATTTTTTTAGGGGTAATTTTTTTGTTGTGTTGCAGATATTTCGCAGAGTATTTTGTTGGTGGTGATGACCACTTACGGCTTTTATTACCAGATGAAAGAACAAAGGGGGAAGCCGCCGTTCCCTCCACATCGGTATACAAGAATTGAAGAAGGGGTGAGCGAGAGAACTCCCTTGGTGGGAAATAGTGGGGTTATTTATTCAGATATTTAAACCAGTGATACTTTATTGAGTCTGCGGTGCTTTATTAAGACTCTCTTTTATTGTCAGACTGATGTAATTATTTTTAATAAAAGACTTTTACCACCTTAGTTTTTCTCTTTGTGCTTCCTCGTATTTGTAATTGCTTAATTATTAAGACGAGTTTTGAGATACTTACCGTTTTTGGAAATTGTTAAATGTCGAGGTAGGAAGAACTGAATAAAAGCAGTTTATTTAGTGGATTTATTCGTTTATTAATTCCACTAAACGCGCTATGGTTTTTACACATCTAAACAGCAAATTCTAATCTACATAAAACTTGAATTGTATAATTTAATCACAGCAACAATAATTTACACGACATTGAATAATACTTGTTTGAATGATATCACTAAACACTATTATAAAAAAGATGTGGTTATAAGCATTGCCCATGTTTGTTCATTTTAGGAACTGAAAAACTGCCTAAAAGTCTTCAAAGTTTTTGTGTCAACACAGTTTATAACATCTAATTACAACCATGTCTTAAAATTATAATACATACAATTATTGCTATAAAATCGTGGCTATTGCAAAAAAACAGTTGATACCGTCCTTCCAGTCTTTTTCTGTACACTATTCACAAGTACCCTGCAGTCCGTTGTTGGATCGCGAGATGGCGCCCTTAGGAGGACTCCTCGGTGGCGGCGGCGATGCCCGGCGGCGTGATGGGAGTCTGCAGAGTTGGTGGCGGCGGCGGTGGCGGGTTATCCTGGTGCACGAGAATGCTCGGCGCCGGAAACCCGAAAAGTTGAGATCACTGAATCCGAGGCCAGTAGTTGGAGGTGAGGTTGGTGGAGAGGTCGGGCGTCTGGCTGGGGATCTGCACCGGCACGGAGACGCCGGCCGATATCACGCCTGGAAAAACGTGTGCAATTGTACGACGAAATCTCGAGAGAGAAGACGGCAAACGAAGCTTGCAACCAGAACAACGCGTCTCCACCCTCGCTTTAGTTCGCACATTATTGAGCGTTCGCCGAGCCGAGAATTCGAAACCACCCCGACGCCACTTTAAACTGATCACGGACAATGAAATTTACGGCAAAGGGAAAACGGCGAAACGACAGAGAGTTGATAAACGAATGCGGAACGATTTAGACATTTTTATAATTAAAGGGTTGTTAAATGAATGATGGTTACTTTTCCAATATAAACAACAAATACCTACTCATTCTTGGTCATTTGTTTATTGTTTCATTTATTTAACTTTAATCGAAACGAAAGAAAACCTATATGCAGCGACTCAATCCAGTCAACGAACAAGTTGTAGAATAATGGTCGGGAAAAGAATTTTTGACTTCATGACTGTATTGAGTTAGTTAGGAGAGATAAACATACTGAAAGTCCCTGGACTTCGGCACCAAGAGGTGCCGTTTTAACCTTTTCCGCTTATATTCAAAAACGCTCGATATGTTACGAAAAAAATCATGCTTAGCTTAAATTTTCCACAAGATGTTTGTATTAGATAGTTTATATAGTTTTCGAGATATTCGCTAACAAATGTGGCACTCTTTAAAATAAATATTGGTGAATTAACGTAAGGTCGTAAGGATTGTTGTAAAACTTGTAAGTATAGTGATTGGTCAGTTTTGAGGTCGGCTATCATTATAATTTAAAAAAAAACAATCACTTTAGATTTTTGGATTCATTCAAAATTTAATGCAATGATGTGATTGGTCCGTTTGTGGTCGGCCATCATTACAATGTGAGAAGTCAAACATTTTAGACTACTTATAGATTAATTGAAATCGGTTAATTTCTACTCATTCATTAATAAGTTAGGTAATTCGAGTTTTTAATACAAATGTAATGTGTGTGCTCTTTATGTATTATGCGGTGCAACCATTATTGTATTGTGACTAAGAATTTACACCTTACGTTTTGTGTATTTGATTGGAAAATAAAAAATATATAGAAATAGGAATATTATTGTTTTTTTACCCATCCAGTGTACTTACAAACCTACCATAATACGGAAGTGAAAAGTTTTTTCGCATTTGAACATTTTCATATAAGTGAAATATAATCTCACTTTCTTAGAAGAACGTACGAAAAGACTACAAGCTGCAAAGGCCTACAATTGCAATCTACAATAATATTTTTTTCTGTAAACTTGTAGTTTAAGCACCTTGTAAGACAAGAAATCAAGATTTTTTTTAAGAGAACTTACGATATTTGCTAGCGGATATTACGAAAACTTTTACAATACAAAAAAGCTTTAATTTTCTTTCTGACCATGTATTTTATAACCCTTTTTGAGCATTCATTGATTTGTTACACATTGGGTCATTGGGATCATAAAATTGTTTTTCTAATAGTTCCTAGCATCCAATTTATGACCCAGTTCAACATTTTATTAAATCAAAGTATTTACTGTGAGAGTATACTCTTTTTTCTCAGGTAATTTTCAAATTTGAACCATTATTAAAGCAAACTATTATTTACTTAAATTCAGACTTCCACTCACCATCACTATTTTATTTTGGATAGTTTTAGCCTTCTTCTGGTACTTACTGCTTATAAGTTTAAACACAATTCAATACAAGGTTCAATTGTTGAGCCCAAAGTACAAAAATATTATGTTGAAGTAATACTTTACCCTGATTCAAGCAAGAATTTTACGTTTTAGATTTATTTATTTTAACATTGACGTTAGTATCTACTTCATTTACCTAAAACAATAATTTTTAAATACATTTAAAAGTACTATAAAAATGTGATCGTTTCTCAAAAATAAAATTTTTTGAAACACTTTTTAGTGTTTGAGTTTTGAAACATTTTTATTTATTTTTTTTAATGGCAAACTATTATGCCAATTATTGTTAACTATATGAGTACATACCTAAACTAAAATTTCAATTATTTACTCATTTATTCAAAAGTTATACCTGTAAAATATGATTTTCTTTCGTATTTCAAAACTTAAAATAAGCAATACCAATTTTGATTGTTTCAGTTATTTTCTTTGGCGTTTTAGTTGTAGTTTTTTTAGTTCATTTGAATCAAATCTGAATCTGAATCACTTTCTCAGTTTATAGGTTGAAATGATGATACATTTCAGCTGATTGAAATCTAAATTTTGGTTTTATTTGAATCTGAAGAGGCAAATATTTGGTCGAAACTGGTGACTCTATCCTAACGAATTCATTTCAATATTTTTCTGAAATTTTCCGTTGCATTATTTTCCGACTCTCCCTCATATTTTTGCCCGTTTTTCCACTCCTCATTAGTGTTTCCCTTGCTGCAAACTTCTTAACTTCCCACCAATGGCCGTCTTTCGCCTCAATCCTCGGTAAAAATGCATAAATATTCATTGCCCGATTTGAAATTGAACGCTCGCGGGCGCCGCGGCTCTGTTTCCAAAGAAAATATCTTTTCGTTGGCGGATTAAAAATACATACCGGTTCCGGTAGAGGCAGGTACTGAAGTCGGCGTGGTGGCCGAAGCGTAAGAGGGATGAGTGGTCGGTTGGGTGTGGGCCACTGCAGGATTGCAAGCCGTAGCCCTCGAGTTGTATGAAGAACTCAAAGAGTGCAACGGATCGTGAAACATGTAAGGATAACCGGTAGCGTCGCGCTGCTGGAGACAACTGCTGCTCAAGCCCCCCGACATTGAACTGCGAACAAAAAAACAAGCAATGTTGAAACTATTCGAAACAATGTCTCGGTGCTTATTGGGAATTAGTGGCGTTTGGAGTTAACGACTGGGGGTAATTGTGGAGGAATTTAAGACATGTTGCGAATTGGACGGTGAAAGAGGTGCTTAATGAAAAAGGAGGCGTGGGAGTGACCGCTGGGAATTCTTCAGATTCGGGGGAAGATTTAGGCGACTTGCCAGGGAGATATTAACGGCTATTTGGAGAGGACAGAAGCGACAAGTTACTAAATTAAATTCCACTAAACTGCCAACACACAACACAATGTGACAATGTTTTAAAAATCGGCTAAACTGTGTTTTTTTTTGTTTTCTTACGGAAATCAGATTATGAAAATCACTGGTATAAGTTGTTTTTTAAAATGTTAAAATTATTCTTAGGTCAGGTTTACTTGTTCTGGTTCAGAGTCATAGTCCTAAGTATAATCAATTATTTTAAACTCTGAGCTCTGAACCTTGAAGATGGATCATTCTGTTAGTTCAAAATTCTGCAATAAATTTAATTTATTCATTTAATAGCGTGTCGTAAAACTTGATCAGGGGTAATTCTGAGCATTTAACAATCGACTCAGATTCTGAGTTTCTATGTATAAAGTACAGTCAATCGAAATTTCTTATGTCGAATTTTTTCGTAACTTGAATAAAAATGCGAGTCCCTTGATGGCAGATTATAGGTATGTGTTTTGAAGTCTGTAACTCTAAGTTTTTTACGTCTCTTAAGATTCGTCTTATCGTAGTTCCACTGTATTTATTTTTTTATTTATTATTTTTGACAAAACCATGAATTTGCTTTTAGAAAAAAATGTGTTATCAAAGATTTGATTATCTCTTAGGAATTTGTGGAAATTCTTTTTTATTTTTTACAGTTCTATAGTTTTTTAAATGGTTTTCTACCATGGAAATTGTTTTTCTAAAATTAAATTCTTTTTAAATGGTAATTCATTAAATCATAGTCTTTGTCGAAAAAACAATTTTATAGTAAGTTGCCAAAAAAAAATTGCAGATCACATTTTTATTCCTACCTTTTATCATCAATTAGTTTTTTAGAAAATAATGATTTAAGCATCAAAAACACTTGGTTACATAGTTTTTGCTCAAATTCGAATGTGAATTCTTTAAGACGAATAAAACATGTTGAAATTTTCCTAAAATGCTCTTTTTTGAAACTTTTTCATCCGTATTTATAGCTACTTAACTTATACAGGGTTATTCATAAATATGAAGCAATATTTGAACCGCAAAAATGACCTATAAAATGTGGGTATGGAATTTTTTTTTTTTGTAATAACTTTGGAAAAAACACAGAAAATACCTGCAATTTCTGAAAACAGAATTTGAGTACATGTATCCAATTTTCGTAATTACTGGTTACTCGCAAGTAACCATTCCAAATTTTATAATATTTGGTCAAATGATTCCGAAGTTGTTACAAAAAAAAAAAAACACAAATTTCCATACCCACATTCCGAGGGCTGTAAAATTCTTATCACTAGAGATAGGACACGAGTTATTATTTAAGTTAACATCATTTTATACGTATAGCTCATTTTTGAGGTTCAAATATTGCTTCATATTTATGAATAACCCTGTACATATTGTAGTTTCCGGTTCGCATCTGAACCTGAATTAATTAATCATGAAATTGTTTTGTCAGTTCGGAATCTCAATTAATTAGATTTTATTTACTTAGATCGTGACCTCATTTCAGATCGTTCATAGTTTGTCTAGGATGCCATTAGATTTTTAATTAGATTGCTTCAAGACTGAAAATCGTTTAAATCCGCCCCTGTTTGAATTTTTCTCTCACAATACCATCTCGTCACTCCTACCGCTTGCTATCACTATCAGTTATTCAGCATCAGACTGCTATCCCGCATAAACAAAGGTGTCTGTCGGAATCCGAGCGACGTGACATGCTTGCAGCGGTCATGTCATGTCAGCGGCCCGCCAGAGGATTAGTCTGTCGTCCGGGACAGCCGGAATCCTCCACTTAGCCTCCCCAGCGGGACGTCGCGAGATCACAAAAAACCAGCTACCGCTCACCTGTATGTGTCGGCCATGGTGGCGATGGGCTGCGGTATGGATGAGTACATGGAGTTAAACCCGGAGTTGATGGGCAGACGACCGGCGGAGGATGGAGGACTCACGGCGCCCACTTGGTCCACGGCTCGGCGCTGGTTGCGCAGCTTTTCCTCGCGACGCCATTTCGCGCGACGGTTGCTGAACCAGACCTGGAAAAGAAATTAGACGTGAGCTTTTGTCGCGGATTGCGACGTTTATATGCACTACGAAGATGAAAAATGACGATTGGAGATGTGATAAATGGACTTGGGTTATTCGGACGGCGGGGTGATGACGTGGACAATATTACGGGGCGGTTAGGGCAAAGGGAGAAAGCATGGGCAATTGGGCTTTTTAAAACTAATGCAAGGGTAATTGTGCAATTGATTATGGAAATCACTCAATTATGAATCACTGTTTTCAAAAATCGTTTTTGGTGTCCAATTATCTGGTGCTTAGTTTGTAAAATTTTAAATAAATTAAAATATGTAATAAAATGTTTTTAACTCTGGAGTAAATTCAAGAAAATGCCAAATGTTTCAACTTGTTTGCTTCCTCTTCGGAATTTATCCACTCAGCTTGTTGCTCCCGTTGGCTCCTCTGATCTCATCCCCGAACTTTTGTAGATCTATTAGAAAAGTTGTCCGAATCGCCGCTCAAAATGATTAACTCTGCGCTTATTTCTGCCAACAAACAACTCTTTTGACACATAAGTTTTCGATTCGCATTTTCATCGAATCGGCAGTAAAATATGTGTTGTCGATCGTTGCGGATTTGGTGTAACGTTGTGCAAAAATAGTCGCGTAAACACCACATCCGATTCAGGTTTGGCACTCGGCGGTGATCAATACCGGAGTCCAACGAAGCTTGAAAACATGCGTCAACACCGGCGTGCGTCGGGAGAGCCCACTATTTACATGCAATGATAAATATTATGATGGGAAAGATTAGAGGGCTCTTGGAGCACTTAAACGTCATATTGAAAGCGAAGCACATTATTAAATGGTATATGTGCTCGGTTATTTGCCCAGAGTCTTATCTCCGGTCCTCAAAAGCGACCAAATAAGGGCAATGTGCAAATAGGAATTTTGCGTCGCGAATCAAAAGATTCTCCACAAAAGTACGTAATCATTTCATGTTTCTAAACTCGCTGCTGTGTTTATATTCACATAAAAGGCACGTTTTACAGCTTTCAGTTGATGAAAAGCTGCCTGTAATTTAGATAAAGTATCCATGCGAGTTGCGCCATTTTACGGCGAGCTTTTCATTCACTCACCGACGTTACTTATCCAAATTGCAACGCTTTTCTGTGCTCTGTGTTTGGATGGTGTATAGAAAGGACGATGTTGATGCGAACTTTGATTTCGCCGCCACAGCACACAGATGTATACATTTAATTAACGCACGCCCTTACCTAAACTAAGTTCCTACGGATTTTTGCAAAAAAAATTGTTACCTGGATACGTGCCTCAGGTAATCCAATTTTCTCGGCAAGACGTTCTCTCGCGAACACGTCGGGGTAGTGAGTACGCTCGAATTCTGAAACAAAACAACAACACCAATCAGATCACACGTTTACCCAAACTCAAGGCAGAATTCACAAAAAATTTCTTATCGTATGGCAAATTATTTCAGAAAGAAATTTCAAGGGTACGATTTGATTTTTTTTCTGAAATATTTTTCTAAATTTATTTGAAATGATTTAATTAATTTAGACATCTGCCCCTTTTTACTGTAAATATACTACAACTCCTAAGTTCATTTTTAAGTAAAGTTTTTATTCAGATTTTTTTCTTTCTCATATTTTTATTCGAGTTTCAATTATTCTAAGAATTTTTTGTTTCTTTTTTTCTTAAATTTGAATCATTTAATGTTTAAAGTAATTTTTGATTCGAGTAGTTTTTCATGTTTATGTAATTTTTTAAATTCAATTGTTTTGATTTACGTTTTTTGAAAAGTTTAAGGGCTTTTTCAAATTTGTAGATCACTCTTTTCTAATGTTTAGACCTCATTTTTACTTAATTTTTAGGACTAAATTTAGGGTTTTTGAGAATATGGGTTAGATTTTAAACCGAAGCATTCCTTTAATTGCATAAGAAAGACAACAGCGACTTGTGCCTAATATTTTTTTAATTTCTTTTGAGAGGAAAATTTGGAATTTGACTGGAAGCTGCACTGCTTTAAAGCTGATCCTGAGTTACCCGTTGGAGTAAAATTTCTTGTATTTGAAGGTGAAAGCTTACCTTTCTCCAGGCTATCGATCTGTTCGTTGGTAAAGGACGTCCTGTTCCTCTGGAGCTTTCTCTTGAGCCTGAGCCTCAGTTGCGAGTCCTCATCACCCGAAGAGTTGTGTTCTGAATTTCCATCTGAGGTGTTTTCGTGCATGGCATCGGCTAGAATAATAAAATAACCTATACGGCGATCGTAAAAATCGTTGTTTTTTTCAGTTTGTTTTCTTAGTATCGGTGTTATGATTAGAAACATGGCCGCGTTTCGCGAAATTGGCCGAAAACGCGTGTGTTGGAACCAGCCGTAGTCTCTCCTTGCATTTCCCACCCTGTGTGCGCGTCCCTATTTACTTCCGCTTCTGTAAACTCCACCCCATTTCATATCCACCCTCGCCATTTCATTCTCCTTGTTTTATTTCATCTTCTGATCCTCTCCCCTCTCCCTCCTTGTTTATGTTTTCAACTGACGAATCTCGCAACGAACTGAATTTGCATAATTTTAGATTTTCGAGGCATTTTTTCGGTTTGGTGTGCTTTTGACCGATGGCGCGATTTCGGACTTAATCAGGTTCTTGTCGAGGATCGTTTCACGCAAGGGTTGCTTCCGGTATGAGAGCGTTTTTTGCGAATTTTAATGGAGACGGGCCTGGCTTGTCGAGTGTTACGATGAAATTTACCGCTAACACAATTACCGGTTTAGATTGGGCAGCAAAAGTTCACTCGCACGGAAGTTATGTTCATTTTGAAACGACCGCCCTCTGCAAAACTAAATTATTTTATCTTTCCTACCGCACCGAAGATTCTACAAGGGAGAGACATAAAGAACGCGCTCACCTACAAAACGAAATGCGGTTTTATGGCCAGGCGATGAAGGATTTTTCAATTTACAGCGCCGCACAAAACGCGAAACTTATCAAGATTCAACGGTCGGAGAAACAAACCATTCTGTCACAATCGCTCACTTCAAGACCAGATTTTTAAATCGTGCATTCAAATCACAACGCTTCTTGAATCACTACATCGATTGTCAAAAATAAATACATACTAAGTTAAAGTTTTAACATTTACCCAAGTTCAGAATATAATTACGTAAAATATGGTAATAATATTTCTTTTATAACAAAAGCTTAATTTCTGCTTAGATGAACTTGTATCACTTAACATTTTCATAATAAAATATGAATCTTTACTCAGATTAATTGCATCTTTCGTAGCAGTTTTTCAAAATGAATGCTTTACTTGCATTTATGTTAAAATATTTGACCTGAATTAATACCAGGGTAAAGATGTTAATCATTATTGGAAATTTTTTTAACAAAATTTGAACCAGCTTAACATTTTTGCATAACTCTAAAAAAAGTAAAAAAAAAATGTTAACACTCAGGTTAAAACGATGATCATTAATACTGAGACACAGATTTAAATCGTTATTAAGCAGGCTAAAACCTTATATATTTGCACGGGTGCGAGTAACAAGCTTTTTAAGGAATTTTGAATTTTGGCTCAGATTAATATCAAAGTGATTTGTGTGAAGGTTTAATTTTTAATTTAATTTTTTTATATGAACCTAAAGGTCAGGTCAGGACTGATATGTTTCTAGTTTTGATTAATGCAACATATTGTTGAGAAATGCATTGTATTTTCGCCCATCCCCCGCATGGGCAAATCCGGAACCTCCCCTCGGCTGTGCCTCGGCATTCGTACGTAATATCCGGTTATAATAATTTAGGATATTAATGAGCGTCCGTGGCGTGTAATTTGCAATGCGCATTGAATTTAATTCGAAATGTTGCCGTGTAAACAGAAAATGCATGTTGTTTGCACATCGAGATAATTTATGAATGAACGGTACGGTTTTTGATTAATTAAATTCGCTTTATTTTAATTGGCCCGTCTATGTTTTCCGACGAAATCACTTTTATGGCCGGTGAAAATAAACACAACTCAAATTACGGTTTTATACAAATACAACAAATTTACTCGGCAAAATCACCTCGTTTTTGGAGGTCGTCCCTGGCAATCTGGGTGGTGAGGGCGGCAGGAGCCGGCGGGAGGCCCAGATGAGGCGCCGTAGGCGTCCCAGGGTACCATGCCCATCCAGGAGTTTGCCCATTGAACATCCGGAGTTTGTCGTAGACGCTCTCGTTCTGGGCCGAGGCTTGCTGCTCCTTCTGCGAGGCCAAATTGCGGAGAACTCGGTTGATGGACGAGACCTGGAATAATTCGAGTGCTGATTTTGTGGGAAAAGTGCGCATGCAAACAATGAAAATGCCAGATGCAATACTGTGCAACTCACGCACTACAAACACCCCTAACTGGCTTATCCCTATCCTGGGATGGATGTTATTATGGGCTATTCTTCGCGGTTAACCAACTGGAAGCACAACACCTCGTCACTGTGCGTCAGCGACAGAAGGACTTTCTTAGCGGGATTTACAAGCGGCGGGATTAATTGTTTAATCGGGGAAATGTGCGAGAAAAATGCAATGGCTTAAACAAAGACTAATTTAAATATATACTGCGAAGAACAGACGGTGAAAAGAAATGTAAATTAGGGATTCTTAAATAAAAAGCATAAAAATTTGAATTCAGGGTGACAACAGAAATAGACGTTAATTTGTCTCAAACTTTTTTAAAAAATAAATAAAAATTAATTTTGTAGCTAAGTATAATATTTTTGTCAAACATAAATCTTATCCAGTGGCGCCTCCTGATCATTAAAACTGCGTAGGAAGGCAAGGCAATATGTATACATATTTATATAAAATACACTGACAAAACTAAAACACATAAACAAACATTTTTATTAAAAAACTTTTGTGAATTTATTTTACATATTTATATAATTTTGTATAATACGAATAGGAGTATGTTTTTTTGTATATACATATTTATTATAACATAAAAACACATCAAACATTTTTAGCTCTTGTCATAAAAATTTCAAAACTATAAGAAAAATTCTTCATCATTAAAATGTTTACATTACAATTTAAATCAAAGATGTTATTACAATTTGTCAAAATTCAAAAATACAATATTTTTGAATTGAATTTTTTTGCGAAAAGTAAATTTTATTTTTTCTTAAATGTGGTTATTGGTGTAGTATTTGACTTAGAACTTGATGAATAATTTATTTTCAAATTCTCAAGACTCGAAATTCGAGAATGTTAACATTCAGTAAAATCCTTGGAGTCAGAGGGTTATGCACGATTTTGTTTGCGTACCCTGTTTGAAAGAAAATTCCAAAAATATACCTAATGGAAAAGTGCTTTTTATCAGACACTTAAAGTTCAGCTTCTTTTTAGTTTTACTATTTTTATTGTTTGTTGCATTTTTTGATTTTTTTATCGCATAGGCACTGCCTATGTTGGCCCCTAATGAGCCGCCACTGATCTTATCTAATCATTTAACCAATTTATTTAATCATTTTTTCACATTTTCAGGTTTTAGATCTAATTATTTTATAAACTACATTTGGATCCAAATCGTTTTTTCAAGATATTTTTTTTAGATCTTAAGGTAGTGATTCCAATTGTTACCTATTTTTCCGATTGATTATTCGAATCGTTTTTAAATCTCAGGTTTAGATCTGTTTTATCAGATTGTTAGAAACCTCAAAATCATTTTCTATTTAAATGGCTTACTTGATCTACTCCTATAAACTTATAAATCACATTGAACTTATTCTTATTATTCAAGTGAAAACTTGAATATTTTATTACTTTTAGGATCCAAAGTTTTTACTCATACCTTGATTAAAGCTTGAGCTTTTTGCTCACATAATATTATAAAGCCTAGGTTTGTACTTGAATCTTTTTCATGTCTCATTGTTCAATTCTCAGGTTACGAATTTTTGCTTCGATTAAGACTTTCCCCAAGGTTTATATTTAATTTTGATAAAAAAGCGATGATGCGTTGTGATAATTTAATCAATTGATAAATGACACTTATTCAGAAAAAAAAATAAGTGAATGTTTCAATGTTTTAGGAATTGGTAGTTTGTTCTGGGGATTTAGGCTTCAAATAGACTAAAACGCACAAAGGTTAGCTTAAAAATAGCCTTCTAAACGCTGCAGTGATTACTGCGATATTATCGAATCCTTCTGACCGGAAACTCCGGTCTTCATGCCGTTGTAACTCTGGTTGCATAATCCCTCAGCATTTTTGTAACAATTAGTTCCAGCAAAGTTCACACTTTGTAAATCGTTGATTTATCGTTTCCTGAGCGCGTTAATCATCGACTCGCGTTGATTAGAAGAGAATCAGTCGGATCTAAGTCGTTGTTGTGCCGTGATGCAGGTCGTGGTGTAATCAGGGCGTCTCTTTGATATTGGCCTTGCATCTGGCGTGATCAGTCAAGTGTCCGGGCGTCGGGTTCCGGTGCCGTCTGATAAAATCATCAATTAGTTCGTTCCTGCGCAAACACAATACCCGGGCGCTCGATTTGAGTTGAAAATCGGCGGTTGGCCAATTAGCCTAATGAAATAAATGTAAATGGTGGCATTGTGCGGCCACATGTCATCAAGTGCACCCCTGGTTTTGACATCTCCAGAAAGCGATATCCGCTGGATTTCGTATCATCCGGTTTGCATCGCAAGAAAGGGAAAAATGCGAGGGTTGGTGAGGGCGCGAGAGGGACGAGTTTTTTTTCAATGGGATCAGCTAAGCGTGTTGCACAATTCGTGATCGGTCATATGTGAAATAGCCCCGGGATGAGGAGGGACACTGGCTCCTCGATAATAATGCGAATTTCAAAATGAACTCGAAAGAAATTTATCGTAAAATGTAATTGAATTGCGACGTATTAAATTGTTCAATTTATGAAACCACAGTGATTTCCCTTTCGACAAGCCGCGCGATTCTCTACGGGCACTCCCTAGGGACAATACCTCCTTGATGGTAATAACCGCTTAACTCAACGATTTAAATTATAAAACACCACCGAATCAAAAACGACCTTTTACGAATCACCACAATCGAAAATGATTTACACACGAATTCACCCCATTTCACTAAGGCGATAATCGTAAATAGACAATAAAAATAAAAAAATCCTTATCGTTTCCTCAGGATAAATTGGGACCATTTCTACTAACTAAAATTTAAATATTTGTTAGAGAAAAACGAAATCACTTATGTTGTGATTTAAATATTTTTTCTCAAAAGATAAACATAAAATTTTAGGGCAGAAATTCGACTATTGTCTCATGTTCCACTTGCTTAAACTGCAATTTTATAAAAAAATTTGGTTTACTTTTCTATTATTGTTTCATACAAATTTCTAAAGCATTTTTTTTTAAATTGGAATGTAAATCAAATGGTTGAATTGAATTGTAAAAATAAAAAAACAATATTGAAAAAGAGCTTAGCAGTACGAGCCTAAACAATAGAGGAAATATAAAAAATGCGTTTAAAAGGGCGGTACTATTATTGAAAAATCACACTTTCTGTATTGCTGAAATCCCAAAACATAAACATTTGTAATTGTTTCAGACAGATGTGTTTACATAGTTGCCAGTTGGCTAGTACAGCACAGTTCATTGCGCTTTATGTATTTAGCATCCACCAGAATTTAATAATTGGATAAAATCACACAACATTAATGCATTATCTGTGAATTTTCGTATCTCGATAATACAAATCGTCAATAAATTCCATTACTCCCTGGGAAATCCATCAATACGAATCGCCATCCTCCGTTAAAAACGCTTACCGAAAACAAAATCAAAGCAAATAAGAAAGAGGGAACCGTCGGTATTTCGGGGTTGGTGTAACCAAGGTAACGGCTGTAACAAGGGCTGGTGAGTGGCGGAACGTCGGATTATAAAAATAGATAGAGATTAGAGAAAATGGAAGCAACGACGAGATGGTGAAAAATTTTTCGACGCTCCAATTTCTAATCCGACGAAGCACCACAATGTGTAAGAGAATTCGGAATTAGCTGCTACACTTGAAGGTTATCAATGCGTGGGGACCACCGCTACCGGAATTGAAGGGCAGTTTCATCATTGACATAAATAGCTTTGGGGCGAGACTGCCATGATAGGTCAAACAATTCGAGGGCAATCGAACGTGAACAGGAAACTCCACTGTAAGGAGGAAAATGTCTGTAAATAGGGCCGTTTCGACGCTCCACCGCTTTACGACACGACTTGCGATCCGACGCGATCTCGCAAATCAATTTCCTACAATTCAACCACGGACAACATTGGCCCCAAATTTGCTCCTTGCAGTAAATCACAAAAATATTTCTGCAAAAATTACTCAATCGACCTTATTTTGATTAGATTTACGGGGAAAATTGATTGACACTTGCCAGTAACGTTTCGCTTTATTACTCAAGCCTTCTTCAGAGCTTCATGTTTATTATACAGGCTGAATATAAAGTATGGAACCATGGGCGCCCGCAGAAATTATGGTCAGGGGGGGCAAAAAAAGAGTCGAAATTAATAATAATAGTTTTATTCGTCTGTTTTCATATCACTCAGTTCGTGATAAAAATATAAATAGTAGTTTCTTATTTCGTTTGTAAAGAATCAAAAAAATCATTTTTTTACATAAAATAGCAACCACTATTGTCCCAGGGGGCGCCCATGTATGGAACCAAGCGGTTTTTAATCATTTGCCTCCAGAAAATAATAATTAATATAAATTAAAGTAATATAAAAAATGTGATCGTATTTTCAGAACGAAATTTGTTTTGTTTTTGAGTTATGCGATTTTTTTTTGTCAAAATTGCAATTCATGTGAAACAATTTTTTTTTTAATTAAATATAAAGCAGATAG